ATCCTCTGGCAAACCAGTCAATGCTTGTGTGCATGCCAAATGATGATCAACCAGGTGCCACTAAAAATTACACTGTATGCCCGCCCTGGCTGCGTGCATAAGGTTACCTTTCCTTGATTTAGTGCTTGAACATGAAGTCTAATACACAAAAACACTTTTTAGTAGCTCCTCATCAAAGTGAGAAGAGAGGCAGAAAAGAGGACTGTTTTTTCAAAACAGGACAAATAAGAGTTGTGTATATGGGACTTGTACATGAATAAACATTGGGTAAACCAGGAATTATTCTGTTCATTGAACTAATTCTGCCTTAGAGGCAAACATGATTTACTATATCATCTTCTTCATTGTTCCTTTCCATCTTCCTAATTTCCGATTTTTGGGGAGTTTCCACTTCACTGACAGTAGACAATCTGCCATCCTTGTTACAGATAAAAAGTGTAACAATATACTGAGCTGAGGCAACTGAGGAGCTTAGGGCACAGACAGCACTAGTCTTCCAGACAGAACGTGCTCTAAGGCTGCTTAACAAATAGTTTATTCCACCGTCTAATTCTTTGACTTTACAGCTTATCAGTGTCACCTGCTTAAAGCTGATTTCTTCTGAAATATGTATGTGCCAACTTCAGAACGTTCAAACGCAAGAGATCACACAATAAAAAGGAGCACAGTACAGAACACTTGGCACAGATCACTAGGAGTCAATAATCCAGCGTACACATGGCCACCATAAACTCACAAACTTTAAAAACACTAACAGTTTTTTTTACATCCAGCTCACATGAACCAACTTGCATATGTTTTTCTGCTCACTGTAGAACACATATTACAATATTTCATACATGCCGTTTTAATTTCAATACTGAATAAATCAACACATATACACACAATGGAAGCTTGTCAGCCACACCAGTGGTTGTGGGGATGAACAAGACAAAATGCCCAATTCCCCCATCCATGCTAAACAGTGTGGATGGGGAAATCCCCTCACGCTGGGCTATTGTATTCTGACAGCGACGGGTAGGCTGCTGTCAGAATAGCTGATTGTCTGCAGTGACTGTTCCGGGCAAGAACTTTCAGATTGACCCATTTGACAAAGGTAAATGGAGGGGTGCCAATGGGGCTATCCATAAATTCATTTATTTACTAAAGGTATATATATATAGTGCTGTCAATTTCCACAGCCGCTTTACATGGTGCACATTCACATCAGTCCCTTGAAGGGCTTACAATCTAAGGTTCCTATTGCACCCTCATATAGGGCCAATTTAGACAGCAGCCAATTAACCATCCAGCAAGTCTTTGCAGTGTGGGAGGAAACCCACACAAGCACAGGGAGAACATGCAAACTCCTTGCAGATAGTGTCCTGAAAGGATTTGAACCGAGGACTCCCAGGGCTGCAAGGCAGAAGTGTTAACCACTAGGCCACTGTGCTGCCCACTAAGCCACTGTGCATTCAAGCAGTGTATGGCTAGCTTAAGAGAATAAGGGCCCTTTCACACCATACTGCACATAAAAACCCACTACAACGCATTGAAAATGCATGTGCTTTTACATGTGCATGGCATTTTTATGCATGTTGGCATGCATTTTAATGTCAGCCCTTGACCTTTCCTTCCTGGAAGGGTCAACATAACTATCAATTTGTTTTCTTTCCTTCACTTGCTGTGTGTTGCGTTTATGTATTCATGCTGCATTTTAATGCACCTCTCTGCAATGCCCATCTCTACTGTGGTGTGCACAGGGCACATGGATAACCATTGTTTTCTATGCACCCTTGCAGTGACCAAGCATCTGGTGCAGAAAACACAAGTCACTGTCCATGGTGTGAATGAGCCCTAAATTAGTTATTCATGTGGTAAATAAAGCAAAACATTAAAATATCTAAATGCTGGTTCTCATTGGGTGGCGCAGGTTTTGTTCAATGTCTTGCTAGATATACCCCATAAAGGGATCCATGGCCCCCATAGAGTACTCCATACGAACGGGAGTTACACTTTTAGAGCTAATTTAGAGCTAGAGGAATAAGAAATGCACAGACCGCGGACATCTACATTACCCAAATAATTAAGGGCTGTTTCTTGCATCAAGAGTGCCCTTGGCAAGACAAGCAATTACCTCTGAATTAACACTTTATTACCCAGTCCATTCAAGCAAGTAATGCTCTTGATTATTCTAATGAGGAAATGATTAAAAACAGAATAATTTCACCATTAATATCTCGTGCATATGGGTGTACTAAAATACTCGCCTCTAGCTGCTTCTGGCAGAAAGATCCAACGTAAAAAAAACACAAGTTTTGCATGTAATTACTCCAAATGTATGCACATTTATGAGCTTATGGCATTTAGAGGTGTATACGCCTAAACTCATTGAGGGGAATTTATCAAAACTGGAGCAGATGCAATCTGGAGCAGTTGCCATGGGAACCAATCAGCATTTCTCTTCAGTTTGCTCAGGTAACATTTGAAAATGAGACAGAGAAGCTGATTGGTTGCCGTGCAAATCTGCTCCAGATTTCGACTGCTCCAGTTTTATCAATTCCCCCCATTCTATTAGTTAGAATATTCTTTTAATTGAACTATTAAATTATGCCGATGAGATCCTCTCCGAACGCAGGTTTGTGGCATTTTGATGGCTCTAAACGCCACAATGTACACGGGCTGAAATCGAGCTGCGTTCAGAAGCATAAAAGAAAGAAAAATGCCTCTTAAGAGTGGCGCTTCTTCCTGTCCATGTGCATGGGGTCTAATGCTTGATAAACAAATAGATATTTTTGTAAGATGTGCCAAACAGCTATACAAGTGCCTGGCGACTACAACACAAACGGGCTGCTGTATCGGTCCCCTTGCGTCTGTATAAATCCAAGAGAAGATGACTAGCACTCAACTTGGAAGCGTGAAGTGTTTTTGCTTTTATTAAAGTATCATGTCACATGTGTCATTCAGCCAACGTTTTGGGGCCACACAGGGTCCCTTCTTCAGGGCAACATATGGACCAATTATGTTGCATATTATAGTCACTATGTCGCCCGAAAGAAGGGACCCTATGTGGCCCCAAAATATTGGCCTGAATGACACATGTAACATGATACTTTAATAAAAGCAAAAAACGTAATACTTCCAAGTGGAGTGCTGGTGATCTTCTCTTCTGATGACTTTGGGGAACACCACGTCATCTGTGTTATCACTGCGAGCACCACAATCAGTTATACAAAGGTCAATACACTGTATGGAGTGCAGGTGACCCACCACAACACTTTGTATTAATCCATATTCTTCATATATTTCCCATAGCATGCATACAGCAGGAAAGATAAAGTGGACCTGTAAGTAGTATGTTGCTCCCTAGTGGCCGCGATCCCTACAAGCTGCAGGTGTCCTATCTGTCAGCACATCTGCACGCTTCATTCCACACGCACATCTGCCAGGCTCCATGACTCAGACACCTTTCACTCGGCAGTCTTATCTATCCTCCACTACATGCCGGGCAGCTGGGAGAGGTGTGATCTTTTCCACAGTAACAATTCAAAGTCAGCCGGTGCCAAGCTGCAGCTTGCCGATGGCTCCTAATGAGACCAGATGCTGCTATAGAGTAATCTGTCATTGGCAGGTGATAAGGATGGTGCTGTGCCCCTGAAGGGGATGAATGATACAAATGACTGCTATTGTCTGGGCTCCTGATTGCTAGGCATTAACTTTCTGACTCTTGGCAAGATACAACTTCTCTAAACTGACCCAGGGAGGGATCGAAACTCCAGTGCAGTGGAGTGTAACTGCACCAGCAGTCTGACAATTCAAATCCACTCCCAGGATCACAGCTATATACACAGATGAATACGTATAAGAGAAATGTCTTATGTGCTAAAGGCTTTGTATTTCTGTCCACCCAGGTCTAAGTGTTACACGGCTCTGTCACACAGCACAGCCCAGAGACCTGATGCTTTTCTATTACACTTAGATAATCCTTACAGGTCTTCCCAAGAAAAGCAAGGTACTTACACTGCTTGCATTAAAACAAATACATTGATATCTTGAAGCATTCATTTGCGTCTTTTCTATCTGCCTGGAATTCAGCTTTGTACACTGAGTGTCAGATGACTGATGAAGACAGTATAGACATACACTATAGACTCTTCTTATAGCCTAAGGCAAGCCAGCTAGAAGGAGGTGAATGGCAGGGCTTTACATGGCTTTACATGGGACATCCTATCCCTAAAGCTATGGAAACACTGACAACTCGGATGGCAGCATTCTATACAGTCCTGGGTGAAACTATATACAGTCCTGGGGGCACACTATATACAGTCCTGGGGGCACATTCTATACAGCCCTGGGGGCACACTATATACAGTCCTGGGTGCACACTATATACAGTCCTGGGGGCACACTATATACAGTCCTGGGGGCACATTCTTTACAGTCCTGGGGGGCACATTCTATACAGTCCTGGGGGCACACTATATACAGCCCTGGGGGTACACTATATATGGTCCTGGGGCACATTCTATACGGTCCTGGGGGCACATTCCATACAGTCCTGGGGACACAATATATAAAGTCCTGGGGGGCACATTCTATACGGTCCTGGGGGCACATTCTATACGGTCCGGGGGGCACATTCTATACAGTCCTGGGGGCACACTATATACGGTCCTGGGGGCACATTCTATACAGTCCTGGTCTGCGCATTCTATACAGTCCTAGGGGCACATTCTATACAGTCCTAGGGGCACATTCTATACAGTCCTGGTCTGCACACTATATAGAGTCCTAGGGGCACACTATATAGATTCCTAGGGGCACACTATATACAGTCCTGGGGGCACACTATATACAGTCCTGGTCTGCCCTGGTATAAAGTTTGCTGAAGTGCACGTTCCGTCATCCAGGGTCGGATTTCCCGGGTACACTGTCACCCATACATCACAGCTGTAGGGACAAGGTGCACACTAGGTACGGGTCGAAGGGCCAAGGATAAAGATGACAAATTCTGCGCTTACCTGCCGTCATAATCCCCCGCAACCTTCCTGTAGAGAGAACAGGCAATGATTACCCTCAGTACTAAATCCATGACGGAGCCAGGCAGAGGGCTGAGACAAGACGAGCAAAGTGTTCGAGAGGAGCGGAGCTTCCCCCACAACACCGGCAACAGGTGAGGAGAGTGACGAGCCCCGGAGACCCCGCCGAGTGTGTGTGTGTCCTTCTCCGTACACTCAGCTCTCTGACACATTCCCAGCCCAGCTCCCTCCCAGACCAGAGAATGAGGAGGAGCGCTCAGCACACCACACACACCCTCTATGTCTTCTCCACCACCTCCACCTCTGTCACCTGCATCCTCATCTCTCCTTACATCACACACCCTCCATGTCTACACCACCACCACCTCTGTCACCTGCCTCCTCACCTCACACACCCTCCATGTCTTCACCTCCACCTCTGTCACCTGCCTCCTCATCCCTCCTCACCTCACACACCCTCCATGTCTTCACCTCCACCTCTGTCACCTGCCTCCTCATCCCTCCTCACCTCACACACCCTCCATGTCTACTACACCGCCACCTCTGTCACCTACCTCCTCATCTCTCCTCGCCTCACTCACCCTCCATGTCTTCACCTTCACCTCTGTCACCTGCCTCCTCACCCCTCCTCACCTCACACACTCTCCATGTCTACTACACCGCCACCTCTGTCACCTACCTCCTCATCTCTCCTCGCCTCACACACCCTCCATGTCTTCACCTTCACCTCTGTCACCTGCCTCCTCACACACCCTCCATGTCTTCACCTCTGTCACCTGCCTTCTCATCCCTCCATGTCTTCACCTCCACCTCTGTCACCTGCCTCCTCACCTCACACACCGACTGAGGGGACACTCAGCTCCTCATGAACCCTTCATTACCCATTAGAAAAACACCTCTCATTTATTTCCTTCATTCTCTCTCAACCCTCCACTTCTTTATTTCTTTCTTTTCCTCCTCACTCTTTCCTTCTTGTCCTCTTTCTCTCGATTCCCTCTCATTCTTTCTTTCCTTCTTTTCCTCTTTCTCTCGTTTTCCTGTCTTTCTATTCTTATTTTCCTCTTTCTCTCTTTTCCCTCTCACTCTTTCTCTCCTTCTTTTCCTCTTTCTCTCTTTTCCTCCCTCATTTTTTCTTTGCTTCTTTTCCTCTCCCCTTTCTCTAATTTTCTTCTCACACTTTCTCTTCCTCTTGTCTCTTTTCCTTCTCTTTCTTTCCTTCTTTTCCCCTTTCTCTCTTTTCCCTCTCATTCTTCCTATGCTTTTCCTCTCTTTCTTTTTCTCTTCCTCCCACTCTTCCTCTCTTTTTCTTCTCTTTCTTTCTCTCTTTTTCCACTCACTCTTCATCTCCCTTTGTTTCTTTCTCTTTCTTTTTCTCTTACTCTTTCTCACTCTTCCTCTCCTATTCCTCTTTTTCTTTCTTTTTTCTCCTCCTCTTTTTCTCTTTTCCCACTCACTGTTCCTCTTTCTTTCTTTCTTTCTTTCTTTCTTTCTTTCTTTCCTCACATGTGATATTTGCTGCATACCTCTTGTTGTAGCTATGTCTTCATAAAGAAATCCTAGTTCCTTTCAGTGGATGTACATACATTTCTAATTGTACAGAGATCTGTAGCTCAGCCGCTTAGTGATTGGGTTTGTGCAGCGTTTATATCAGCGCCAAGCTCACCAGTGACAATCACTCTGTATTCACTTCTGTGGATAAGCTACAGATCTCTGAAGCAGAGTGTTTTGTAGCAGCAAATGCTAATGGAATGGGATGCCACAGATCTGACTGCTAGCTGCAAAACATTGCTTCTTAGCGACAAATTGTCAGTGACTATAGCTACTATGTCACTAGCTACAAATTGTTATTACATTGTAACAAATTGTTATTGTTTAGTGTATCTAAACCCACAAATCACTCTACAATTGCCTGCCTGACATGGCCCTGACAGTCACAGTGTATCTAACCCCACAGATCACTGCTACCATTGCCTGTCTGTAACAGTCACAGTGTATCCAAACCCACAAATCACTCTACAATTGCCTGCCTCGCATGGCCCTGACAGTCACAGTGTATCTAAACCCACAAATAAAAAATGTAATACATTGCAGATTACCAGTCCTTAACCACTTGAAGACCAGGTGTTACACCCCCTTCCTGGCCAGGCCATTTTTCAGTGTTCGGCGCTGCAGTACTTTTACGTTTATTCCGTCATGCAACTCTGTACTGAAATTAATTTTATACCATTTTTTGGGGACAGATAGAGCTTTCTTTTGGTGGTATTTAATCACCACTGGGGTTTTTATTTTTTACTATATAACAAAAAAGTACACTAAATTTTGTTAAAAAAAAACCTGTTTCCCTGTAAAATGTTATGAAACATGTTATGTCAAGCTTTAAAATTGTGCGCACCTGTGAAATCGCAGAAAGCGACCGCACCCAAAATTAGCCATAGGCGACGCTTTAAGCGCTTTTACCGCTCATCAGTTTAGTGTTATCAGTAATTAATGGCCCTAAAATTATTGCTCTCATTCAGACGTTCGCGGCGATATGTAACATGTGCGGCACAATAGGCGGAATCGTCGTTTTCGCACGGTGGCGCACCCGACTCATGTTTGCGTGTCTATGTCACCTAGGGACCCCCAGAGAAGCTGATGAAGCAGAGATCTCCTTCACCAGCTTCTTACCGGCATCTGGAACTGAAGAGTGACACTGAATGCAGGTAGTGATGTAATATACAGTGGTACCTCGGTTCACAAACGCTTCTGTTTGCAAACAATTCGGCTCGCGAACAGGAAGTTCGGCCACATTTTGCCTCCGTTCACAAACTCCGCTTCGGGTGACGAACACAACCGCAGCCATTTTCCCTGCTCTGACTGCTCTGTTCTCCCCAGCGCAGTCTGTTACAGACCAGAAAAATACTGCACGTCTCATTTTGTCTGGTCTGGAATGCACTGGGACTGCTGCAGGTTCACACTATTTTCCGGACCAGAACTGGTCTGGAAAATGGTGCGAGCTTGCCCTTAGTCCAGATAAAAAATGTTCTGGTCTGGAAGTGGTCTAGAGATGGTGTGAACAAGCCCTTATCTGAACTTCAGCTAACACTTTTCATTACAGCAACAGTTTTCTTTTTCATTTTGAGATGAAGGTTTTACATAAATGACTAAAAGCTGACAATTGTAAGCACCCCATCAGTCTTAAAAGGTTTGTCTTCTAACTGCCTTTTTTTTTGCAGTTCTTTATGCTTCCTAGATCACTTTTTACTGTGTTTGGATGTTCTTGGGTTTAGTCGCGTTTGGCTGCGTGAAATCAGGCTAAATAATCCAAGGAAACAGAAAATTGTTTGTGTAAATGCACCTAGACACTGCTAAACGTCTAGGTGTGCATACAGCCATAGCAAAGCATTACATTCTTCCAAATGTAGAGCCAAAGGAACTCTCGCCGCTCCAATTCCTTAGTCACCATCAGAACTCCCCAGGTGCTGGTCCAATAGGTGTGTCTCCACCTTGGAATGTAGTAGTATACGAACAGACCGCACTATCCAGAGAATACCAATACTTCAGACTTTATTGAAATGCGCAGCAAATCCAGTGTAACAGTGAATAAAAGTGTATAAAGCAACAAATGCCAGCACTGCACACCCCCAACCAGCTACAGCCTCTATCATGTTTCACCCGCAGGCTGATTCATAGAGGTCACTGTTTTATTCACTGTTATACTGGGTTTGTTGTGAGTTTCAATAAAGTCTGAAGTATTGGAATTCTCTGGATAGTGCGGTCTATTCGTATACTACTACATTACATTCTTCCAGATACATTTAGAAAGGAGCACCTGGACGGGTATTTTCATTGCCATGTATATAGGGCCTAAATGAAGTTAAGCATAACAGACTTACTGGCAAGATCACCAGGTAAGTATAAAGGAAAAAAAAAAAAGCCTAAAATCAGGAAATGAATGGACCCACCACATTTCATTGATAAGATGAAATATATTAAAGTGATGTTAAAATCAACAAGTTTTTAAGCTATTTCAAATTCTAATAGAATCACTTACAATGGATGCTGCCTCTTGATGTAAGTGTTAGTTTCCTGCAAAATCAGCTGCTCCGCTGAGCACTGGCTCTGATATCCTGCTTTAGGTGGCTCCTTTACCTTGCAGGCTTTCTATGGAGGCAACTTTGTGTGTGCTGTGTGTAAGCTGTGTGTTTCTCCACAACCACACAGACAGACACTCCCTTGCTCCCTGCTTCTCTCTTTTCCTTCCTTCATCCTCTCTTCTCCCAGCTAAGGGCTTGTTCACGCCAAGCGCGTTCCAGGAGCAGAGCAGTTACAGACCGGATCAAAACTGCGTCCAAAGTATTCCAATGGTATTTTGGGCTCTAGTTCGAAACCGCAGCGTTCAGTTCCAGAGCATGTAAAAAAAAAAAAAACTGCAGCAAGCCCTATTTTACCTGCATCAGAAACGCATGCAAACGTCCTGGAATGCACTGAAAGCCCATTTTAAACTAAAAAATATATATAGATATATAATTATTTCTTTTTTACAAAAAACGGCCCGAAACGCATCAAAAACGCGGCAAGAAACGCAGTATAACATACTGCATTGCGTGTGCAGAAACTCAATCAGATCTGGTCTGTATTTGGTGTGAACAAGCCCAAAGAGATGGACAGCTACTGGAGTGTAAACTGAGCCCATCTGAAACAAGGCAAATTGCCGTGTGTTGAGTTGGGGCTGCACTGGAAAAAAATGGCCTCACAGCCCCAACTCATCTGGTTTGAATGGGCCCTCATATAGCAGCTTGTGCAGTACTCGGTATCAGTACTGCTTGAACCTAGAAATGGGTAGACCCCCAAAAGCTTTCCGGAAAAATTATTTGTTAGTGCGATTAAAAAAAAATGATCATGTTCAGTATTCAACTATGATATCTCTTTCCTTTAATCTCTCTCACTCACTCTAACCTGCCTGGTTATTCTCACACTGTCATAAGGATTTGCAGTATTTTGTTACTTTCAGTCAGGAAACAGAGAAAAATTGGACCCCCTTCTTCAGCTGGCCACACGCCTAGATTTTTGGGAGAGCTTACAGGAGACCAATTTTAAATGATCAAGC